TCCTAATAACAAAAAATGCTCACCTTGTATGGAACCACAAAAGAACCTGAATAGCCAAAACCATCCTGAGGAAAAGAACAAAGCCAGAAGTATCACATTCCCTCATTTCAAACTATACTACAAAGCCATAGTAATCAAAACAGTATGCCACTGTCAGAAAAACAGACACATAAACCAATGGAACAGAATTTAGAGTTCAGATATAAACTCACACACGGATAACTAATTTACAAAAAAGTAACCACGGGAAGTCTCTTCAATAATTGGCATTGGGAAAACTGGACAGCCACATGTAAAAGAATGAAACTAGAACGCTATCTTATACCATACAGATAAATTAACTCAAAATGAATTAAAGACTCTTATATTTAAGACCTGAAAACAAAATACACAGAAAAAACATAGGTACTAAACTTCAGTATTACCAAACTTTTTGTAAATTTGATTCCAACAAGGGAAACAAAACTAAACAAATGGGACTACATAAAACTAAAAAGCTTCTGCACAGCAAAGGAAACCATCAACAAAACAAAAAGGCAGGCAACCAAATGGGAGAATATATTTCCTAATGATACTTAGAGGGTAAATCTAAAATATATAAAGAACTCATACAACAATAAAACCTGATTAAAAATGGGCAAAGGATCTAAGGAGACATTTTTCCTAAGAAGACTTACAGATGGCCAACAGGTACATAAGATGTTCGACCTCATTAGTTATTAGGGAAATGAAAATCAAAACCATATTGAGATGCTACCTGTCACTTGTTAGAATGGCTTATTTCCAAAAGACAAGGAATAAACAAATGTTAGGATTTGGAAATAAATGGAACATTGCTGGTGGACTTGTGAATTCGTGAAGCCACTATGGAACAGAGAGAGAATAAAGGTTTCTCAAAAAATTAAAAATGGAACTACCACATGACCCAGCAATTCCACTTCTGGGTATTTATCTGAAGCAAATGAAAACACTAATTCAAAAAGATATATGTACCCCTATGTGAACTGCAGCATTATTTACAATAGACAAGATATGGAAACAACCTGTGTCTATCAATGGATTAATGGATAAACAAATGTGATATTTATTTGTATGTTTATATGTATGAAAGTAGATAAAGATATAAATATACATAATGGAATATTGTTGAGCTATAAAAAAGAAAGAAATCTTGTCAATCTTGGATGGACACATAGGGCCTTATGCTGAATAAAAGAAGTCAGACAAAGCCACTACCATAAAAAATCACTTACACATGGGATTAAACAAAAAACCAAGTTCAAGATATAGAGACTGGTGGTTGCCAAAGGCTTTGTGGGGACAGGGTTGCCAATGGGTAAAAGTGGTCAAAAGTTACAAACTCTGTTATAAAATAAGTCATGCGGATGTAATGTACAGCGTGGTGACTGTAGATAAAATTGTATTGCATATTTGAAAGTTGCTAAGAGAAAAATCTTAAAAGTTATCACAAGGAAAAAAACTTGTAACTATGTATAGTGACAAATGTAAACTAGACATATCATTTGGAAATATATACAAGTACTGAATCATTATGTTGTATACCTGAAACTGACATTGTTATATTTCAACTATACCTCAATAAAAAATAATTTTAAAACATTTCATAATGTTGTTTCAGTCTGCAGTGGTATGGAATTTTTTTCCTGATTGTAAAGATTAATTAATTAAATACATATGTATTACAAACTCAATTTTCTCAATAACACCCTAGAGAAATGTAGCTATAATACTAATCCCAGCTACCCAGAATTTTTCATTTCTTTAAATAATAATTTCAAAATTTTCCCTCTCATCTGGCAATGTAGATCAGGTTAAAAACAAACTTGTACATTTTTTTAAAAATGTGAGATCAAAAATTTTTGGTGCTTGTACTGTGTCAATGCCATTTTCAAGTTCTGTTACTTCATGAACTTCAAGAAAAAGAGATGACCAAATTTATAGTTAAATAAAATTTTTCTACCATTTAGAATTGATAAATATTGGATTTAAAAAATCAGTAACCCAATGTGTACACATATGTATTATATAGGTATATATACATTATATATGTATGTATTATGAAATCATAGTGTTGAGATTCATAATGAATGAATCAGGAAAAATTGCACATATTTTAAAATGTTTTACTGTGGAATATATTTAAAACATTCACCTTAAAATTCAGAAGTATAAATATAGAGTGAAAAGCATGCTGGAAATTAATTTCTGCAAACTTAAATGAGTTGTGGCTAATACACTGAAATTATTACAACAATCTATTTCTTTCACTATCCTTCACTGAGCACATTTTACACATTCTAATACTAGTCATTTTTTTCTCTAAGGAAATTTCCATAAATTGCTTTTTGTAGACAAAATAATAGTGTCATCCAAAGACATCTATTTCATAATATCCAGAACCTCTGAATATGTTAAGTAACATGGCAAAGAGGAATTAAGGTAGCAAATGGAATTCAAGCTGATAATCAGGTGACCTTATGATAGAAAACATTTCCTGGATTAGAGGGGTAGGCCCAATCATGTAATCATAAGGTCCCTTTAAAAGTGCAAGAAAGAGAACAGAAAGTTAGAATGATGCCATATGAACTCACTTTGACCTGCTCTTGCCAATTTTGTAGACAGAAAAATGAGCAGGCCTACGGAAGCTAGAAATCAAGGAAATGGATTCTCCCCTAAAACCTGCACAAATGTATTATGATCCTGCTCATACCTTGATTTTAGCACATTGAGAGTCATGTTAAACTTCTCACAGAACTGCAAGGTTAATAAAATTGTGTTGTTTTAAACCCCTTAGTTTGTGGTAAACTGTTACAAAACAGAAAATACACTTTGTAAAGAGTATTAAATAAAAATTACTTTTCTTGTAAACATCAAATGAAATAACGTATGCATAAGTGTTTAAAAGCTGCAAAACACTTGATTATGAAAATATGAAAACATTTTCATTATGTACTGAGGGAAAAGTCGAAAGAAAAGAGTATTATTGTCTACATGCAGAATGTAGTCTACGGTCTGCTATAGTTCTTGATGCCTCTTGAAAATGTTTTGTGGAGAGTGATACATTTTCATGATACACTTGAGAACTGGACTAGAGTTTGAATTGTTATGGGGCAGAACAGTTTTTGGGGTTTGCCATTCATGAAAGGGTATTTGAATTGGTTAAACCTTGTCCGTTGTCAGATTCTTTTAGCTAACTTCTTGCTTTTTTAGGTATAGTGGGTATACATTATTATTAGTTTCAGGTGCACAATATAGTGATTCAACATTTATACAGCTTACACATGATCACCACACTAAGTCCAGTAATCTTCTGTCGCCATGCAAACTTACACAATATTATTGACTTATTCCCTTTCACCATTTTCCTCATCTCCCCCACCCTGCTTGCTCCCTTCTGGCCACCACCAGTTTGATCTGTTTGAGTCTGTTTTTATTTTTTTTAGATTCTACATGTAAGTGAAACCATACAGTATGTCTTTCTCTGTCTGACTTATTTCACTTATCATAGTACCCTCTAGGTCTATCCATGTTGTCACGAATGGCAAGATTTTCTGCTTTTATCTGAGAAAATTATAGAAAGGATTTAGCCTTAGAATAGCTAATATTTACTGAGCATTTACTAAATGTCAACTTATACTGAGTGGTTTCCATCCATTATTTGATTCTCACAACAATCCTTTGAGAAATATTACTCCCACTTAAATATTATTTAACACGGGGTGTTAAATAACCTGTGTGTCTGGGGGGGGGGGCGGAACATGATAAATATGATAGTACTCTGATTTTAAAACACAGGCATTCTGACTCTAAAACCCACTTAGCCACTACTCTAGGCAGAGCCTATTTACAGTTCTTTTACACACATGACGCAAGTTGAGAAGTTAAGTAATTTGAAAAAGACCACAGAGGTATGCCATGTCAATGATTCCAACGTTTTACTCCTATATCAATAATTTTTTATTATACTCCCCCTCTACAATTCTCCAGAACAGGGCAAGTATACCAAGGAATACCTATTACCTATATCTTTAATATCTCAACTCATATATAGGTCACAATATCAATGCTTATATACTTGTTTTAGTAAGATCCACTTGAGGCCATATTAAGATTTAAAAGCCAAGAGTGATAAATCTTGATGTACTTTGGGAAATCTAAGTGATCAGCATTATAAATTTCTCTTTGATCATTAATACTGATTTAGTTTCTCTTACTGTCTCTTGTATCTTGAAGAAGCTGTAAGATTTGAGCATTAGACCTAATTCCAGATAAGATTGTTTAATAAAGTATGTCCCCTTCTGGAGTACAGTATTGGAGAAAGAATAGCTTGATTTCTTGAGGTATTTAGATGAAGTTGGAAATCTATCTCAAAACCTTCCTTCTATTATCAGAAATTAACTCTCTTTCTGGGCAACCCATATATAACTGTTTCACCTTTACGGAATGGGCTTCATTATCCTTATCACTTACAATATTGTGAATACAAACTTCTTTAACTACTGCTTTTTAATGCCTGAAGAGTACTGAGAACAACTGTCATTCTTGAATCTCTAACAACAGCAACACAAAGAAAAATAATTTTTTCCAATTTCCACTCTCCCTCTCATTAACTATAACCATAAAGCATACATTTTATCACTGTCGATGTCCAGGCAGTTAGACAACTAATGCACACAACTTACAAGAAACTAGTTCCATTCCAACTGAATGTGTTGGCAACATAGGATTCGTGAGACCCTTCTTAAACAAATGAATATAGTAAGCTCCTTTCTTTGCTTAAAATTATACCGTTACATAAGTATCTCAAATCAATTATATATGTCTTCATTTCAGAGTAACAAAAGTGAATGCCTGGAGAAAGAATACCTAATATAACATGTGGTCTAACAAAAGGAAATTAGTATAGAGAAAATGCATACAAAACAAATGTATATTCTTTAGCTCAACCTGCCTTCTTTTATGTTTTTTTTCCCTAATAGGCACATCATCTTTGCTCCAAGTAGGCACAACAAATATGCTGGAGAGTCATTTCCAGGGATCTATGATGCTATGTTTGATATTGAAAATAAAGCAGACCCACATTCAGCCTGGAAAGAAGTAAAGAAACACATTTCTATTGCAGCCTTTACAATTCAAGCAGCAGCAGGGACCCTGAAAGAAGTGGTACAGTAAGATCTCAGCCAAGTGGCTAGTCAATAAAAGTGTTACTGAAAGTCCGAGGATAAAATCCATTTTTTCTTTTGTTTGATTTTAGACTTCCACCTTGTTCATGTGCAGAGGTTTTTGGTTCTTTAAAAATTCATAACTTCATCACCAAAGTGTTAATCTAACAAAACAAAACAAAACAAAACTCCAGTCATGTAAACGAGGCGAAGAAATTGAAAATTCCCTAAAATAAAATCCAGCAATGAACTTGAACTCTCAGACATTGCTGGTAGAAATGTAAAATGGTATAACCACTTTAGAAAAGTTTAGCAGTTATAAAGTTAAACATATACTTACTTTAACTCCAAAATTACATCTCTAGGTATTTCCTAAAGAGAAGCGAAATGGGATCACAAAAAGACTCTTACATACATGTTCCTAGCACCTTAAAGTGGATGACTTCAACGGATAAATGAATGAATTATGGTATATCCACAATGGAATACTATTCAGCAATAAAAATAAGCCAATACATGTAATATTATTAGCAGATATTGTTGAGGGAAAGAAACCAGACACAAAAGAATATCTAACATATACAGATATATGAAGAGGCAAAACTAATCTATGGCGTTAGAAATCAATTAGATTACTGATTGCCTGGGGCAGAGGGGAGACTGGTTGCAAAGTAAGGGGCAGAGGGGAGACTGGTTGCAAAGAGGCATAAGGAAACTTTCTGAGATAATGGGAGTTTTCTGTATCTTGGTATAAGTGATGGTTATACAGCTGTATACACTTGTCAAACCTCATCAAAGTGTAAACTTAAAATGGGCGAAAGTTAAGCCTCAATAAATTTGATTACACCACCTCCCCCCTCAAAAAAAGAAAAAGAAAAAAAAGTCTGGTAATGAATTGGTATAGCACACCTTCTCTTATAAAAAAATCACCGTGGAGTGCAAATTGTAAGGAAAAAGTGAATAATATAAATACTTTTAAAAACTTTACCTCTAATGAATAATGTATAAGTCTGATAGGTGAAGAAAATAGTTGCCACAAATCTTTATACTCTAATCAAGAAGATATAACAATCGTAAATATATATGCACTCAACGTTGGAGCACCAAAATAGATTAAGCAAACACTAACACCTAAGGGAGAAAAACAGTATAATAATAGTAGGAGTTTTCAATACCCCACTGTCAGCCATTGATAGATCATCCACACAGAAAATCAATAAAGAAACACTGGAATTGAACCATACTTCTAGAACAAATGGACTGAAAAGACATCTCTGGAACATTTGTCCAACAGCAGAATACATATTCTTAAGTGCACTGGAACATTTCCAAGATAGATTATATGACAAGGCATAAATCTCAGCAAATTTAAGACTGAAATAATACCATCTTTTCTTGCCACAATGGTAAGAAAATAGAAATCAATAAGAAGAATGCTAGAAAATCTACAAATATGTAAAACTAAACAATACACTTCTGAACAACCAATGGGTCAAAGAAAAAAAATCAAAGAGAAAAGAATAATAAATGGAAATACAACATAACAAATATGGGATTCGGCAAAAGCAGTTCTGAAAGTTTATAGTGATAATTGCATATTAAGAAATTAATTTCAACCTACGTTTATATCTCAAAGAACCAGAAATAAGAAATTAACTACAGTAAGCAGAAGGAAGGAAACAATAAAGATCAGAGTGGAAATGAATGCAATGGAGACCAGAAAAAAAGAAGATCAACAAATTGAAAGCTGATTCTTTGAAAAGATTGACAAACCTTAAGCAAGACTGAGAAAAAAAAAGAGAAGACAAAAATTATACTCAAAATTAGAAATGAAAAAGACATAACAATCTACAGAAATACACAGGACTATAAGAAACTATTATGAAAAATTACATGCCAGCAAATTAGATAACATAAAAGAAATGAATAAATTTCTAGAAACCTACTAAGACTGAATCAGAAATAGGAAATTTGAACAGACTAGAAATGAGCAGAGACTGAATCAGTCATCAAAAGCCTCCTAACACAGAAAACCCCAGGAACAATGGCTTTACTGGTGAAGTCTATCATATACTCAAAGAAGTGTTAACATCAATCCTTATCAAACTCTTCCAAAAAGCTGAGGGAGAAATACTTCCAAACTCATTCTATGAGGTCAGCACTGCTCTGATACCAAAGCCAGATAAAGACACCACAAGAAAAATATAGATCAATATCCCTGATGAATACAGATACAAAAATTCTCAACAAAATATTAGCAAACTGAATTCAAAACACACAAAAAAAGATTATACACCATGACCAAGAGGGATTTATTCCAGAAATGCAAAGATGGTTAGATATATGAAAATAAATGTAACATATATTAATAAAATGAAAGATAAAAATCACAGATGCAAAAAAAACATGTGACAAAATACAGTATCCTTTCATGATTTAAACCCTCAGAAGACTGAGCATAGAAGAAACATACCTTAACCTAGTAAAGGAAATAAATGACAAACCCACAGCTAACATAATAGTTAATGGAGAAAAACTGAAAGCTTTTTCTCTTCAGAAGATCAGGAACAGGTCAAGGATGCCCATTCCCACTGCCCTTAGTCAATATAAAACTGGAAGCACTAACTAGAGCAATTCAGCAAGACAATGAAATAACAGGCATCCTTCACAATGAAGATGGAATCTCACCCCTCAAAAAGGATGTTCAAATAGGGAAGGAAGAGGTAAACCTGTCACTATTTGCAGATGCTAATATTCTGTACCTAGAAAATCCTAAAGACTCAACAACAACAAAAACTTGAAAATAATCAATGATTTCAGTAAAGTTACAGGATACAAAGTTAACATACAGAAATCAGTTACATTTTATACACTAAGGATGAAACAGCTTAAAAAGAAATAAAACGATCCCATTCACAACAGCAAAAAAATGATAAAATTCTTAGGAATAGATTTAACCAAGGAAGTGAAAGATCTAACAAAAACTATAAGACTGCTGAAAGAAATCAAAGACTACACAAATAAACTGAACGACATCCCATGTTTATGGACTGGAAGATTAGTTATAATGTCCTTCTTACTCAAAGTCATCTATAGAGTTGATGCAATCCCTATCAAAATACCAATGGCATTCTTCAGCAAAATAGAAAAAACAATCCTGAAATCTGCATGGAATCTCGAAAGACCCCCAAACAGCCAAAGCTTGGAGAGAAAGAACAAAACTAGAAGTATCACATATCCTGATTTCAGCCTATATTACAAAGCTACTGTAATAAAAATGGCATAGTATTGGCATAAAAATTGACATTGATGAATGGAATAAAACAGTGCACCCAGAACTGATCCCTGCTTATACAGTCAACTAGTATTTGACAAGGGAGCCAAGAGCAACCAATGGGGGATAGATAGTCTTCTTTAACAAGGCAATGAAGAAACTGCACACCTATCTTCCACTGCGCACAAAAATTAACTTGAAATGGATCAAAGACTTAAACATAAGACCTGATACTATAAAACTTCAGAAGAAAACAGCTTCTCAACAGCCATATGGAACACCAATCCCCATGTTGGAGGTTCCTAAAAAATTTAAAAATAACCATTTCTAGGTATTTGAGGAAAATGAAAACACTATAGAAAAGATATATGCATCTGTGTTCACTGCTGCATTATTTATAATAGCTGAGACATAGAAACAACTTGTCTATCCATAGATGAATTCTAAAGAAAATGTGGTACATGTATACTGGGAGAAATGAGAACATTCTAACATTTGTGACAACATGGATGCACCTTGAGTATATTATGCTAAGTGAGATAAGTCAAAGACAAGTACTGTATGGAATCACTTATATGTGGAATTTTAAAAAGCCAAACTTGCAGAACAAAGAATAAAAATGGTGGTTACCAATGGATGGGGGTTGGGAGAACAAGACAGATGTTGTTTAAGGGTACAAATTTACAATGAATAGTAAATAAGCCTTAGAAATACAATGCACAGTATAGTGAATATATACAAAAATACACTATTATTAAGTATTGTAATTATCAAACTTGCTAAGAGACTAGAACTTAATCATCCCAGCTACCAAAAAAGGATAATTATGTAATAAAGGTGCTAATTATCACAATGGCAATGACATTAAAATATATAAATGTATCAAATTAACATGTACATGCTAAATTTATACAATGTTGTATGTCAAATATATTTTTAGAAGACAATCTAGGTGCTAGCTTTATCTTAGAGTTCCTAGCACCCAGCACGGCACTGCTTTAAGTGCTCGTTAAGCTTCAAACATACACAAATGCACAGAGAACATAAACTCTCCATGTACCCATAACCTAGTTCAAAGAATCATCCCTCAAAAAACAAACAACAAAAAACTTTTCCCCCTAAGCATTTGAGAAGAGTTGAATTAAACTGTTAATCGTTATTCTCCTTTCATGTGATTCTTTGGTCTGTGTCCTGAGAGATTATTTCTCATAAGGATACTTGGGAAATAGCAAAGAAATTATTTTGCTAGTTAGTGCATTACCTGTTACTGACTTTAATTTAAATAAGCCATAAATCCTTATTATAATGCAATAATTTAGTCATTTAAAGAATCTAAGCTTAATAAGTTGTTTAATATAAATGAAAACTAGTAAAAAGCATTTTATATATTTTAAACATTTAAAAAATTTGTTAGAGAAAATTTGACAATCCCAGTATATGTGACAAAGATGTTTACTGCAGCATTTTTTATCATAGTAAAAAAGTAACAAACTAAATATTCATCAATGGAGAATTAACTAACAGTATAATAACAATCATAAAATTGATAAAAACATTTTTCATTCTTATGGTACGTTCTCCATGAGTTGGAAAAACATGGTGATAAAACTGAATGTATACACAAAATGTCAACAGTGCTTATATTGGTGGACTTTTAGATGATTTTTACTCTGTATTTTTCTGTATTGCTTGAATTTCTTACATCAGAATATATTCCTTTTATATAAAACTACAATATGGCTCTTTCTATTTTGGAACAGAAAAAAGTACATAAATTTCTGGG